GCCTCCTGCCAGAAAGGGCCTCCTCTTCCCCTTTTGTTCGCGTCTCTGCGCCTCGCAGCGGCCCGAGAGCTTCCGCTCCGCTGCAAGGACAGCGACTGGTTATTTCTCCCCCCTCCCCAGGGTGCGGAGGATTTCCCCGACTGCTGCATCCTGATCCTCAGGCTTCTGCCTGCAGCCTTCCACGCGTCGGGAACGCCTCTAGTTTCTCTGGTTGTTGGAAGCGTACTTACAAAACCCTCCTCACGAAAATTTGGTCACCGTCGGCCTGACCAAACCAACGTGTTTTTCCACTCGTAAAAAATGAAAGGGGGCATCGACGTGCTACTGGACTAAATTACTCATGTCAGCCCCTGGCCGTGAGGCTCCTGATTTCTTTCTGTGTTGTAGTGCCACATTCCAGTTCGCTCGCAGAAAAGCAATATCCGCGGCCTCTCTTGAGCTCCGTTCCCGTAGCATCCTTGCTGATAGAATGCCTCACAGTTTGACAGCATTAGGATGTGCCAGTACAGCAGGCACGAAATTCCTGTGCTGGCCTTGTTTTTTGTTCAAAAAGCGAGCAGAACTCTCCAGGGAGTGTTCAAGTTGGAGGCCCTATTGGAAATTTCATAGTTAGGTTTTTTTTTTTTTTTTTGTTTCAGGATAGAGTTCAGAAAAGACAGTAAGTATATTGTAATGCTAAGTGTATATGTTCAAAAACGTAATGAAGAGTAAGCATGTTACAACTTTGCAGTAGAATGTTTTGCTGGAGATCAGATATGCTTTAGTACTCTGATATTTCTCCGCTTCATGTTCAGGGTTGTGGAAAGAATTGATGTTAACAATGAGTATGGGAATATTAATCTTTCTTACAGGAGAATTCTTATATTTCACATACCCATATATAGCCCGTAATAGTTTTCTTGCCCTTCAGAATTTTGCATTCAGTTTTCCCAGTCAAGGTAATCAAACTCCTTATGGTTTTCTTTCATCATTCCATGTGAGTTACACTTATATGTGAGAGTTTTACTGGCATTCCTAAACCAGCAGAGTTTTGAAGGTGTCATGAGATGATAGTTAATTCAAGAAAAGCTTTTGGTGTAAAAAAGATGTTAAATGCTTAAATATTAAAATTATTAACTACATTTGTGGAAATGGCTTAATTAAATGCATTTGTTTTGCATATGTGTATTCTCTCTGTAACATGATTTTTCTCTTACCTGAATTATTTCAAATACTGTGTTGGCAGCAGTCTGAGTTACCCTTAGAGCCTAACTTTAAACGAGTGGTTTGTAAAACATTGGGTAGGTGCAACTGTACGAGCTTTAAAGCAGGTTTTATTGCGTAGAGTAGGGGGTTGCATGAGCTAAGACACAACCATACAGCTCATAGTGTAACTTTCCAGACTGTTTTTCACACTATTTCCCATCCCGTCACCCAGTGAAACTGATACAAAGACAAGAATGGAGAACTGGAAGGCTAAAACAGTCCTGATGGCTTCTGTCCGTGTCATGAATGCACTGTGGGTTTGGGTGAAATTGGTTAGGTGACTCGCTGTAAATTGGGGGTGAAGAGGAAAGAACATGAACAGGTTTGCTGTAATGCTTTCCTACACTGTTTGATTTTTTTGGTTGTTGTTGTTACTTCTCCACATCAAGATAAAGGCATTTAGGGCATGTGTTTTATAGGAATTGCATACAAATGTTTTCTGTTCCAATATGTAACTACTTTGGTTTTTTTTTACTTGCAGAGTCAACTGTTCATTTTATTTCAAAATTGGAGCTTGTCGTCATGGAGACAGATGTTCTCGATTGCACAACAAACCAACATTTAGCCAGGTTTGTCTTCTTTTTGTTTTCTTGTTCTTGTGGAAGTATATTCTTGCTGCTTTAAAACGTAGATTCTCAGATACAAGTGAATAATTACCGAGCTCCAGATTAACTAGTTCAATTTTGGCCCCAGTTTATATGGGTTTTTGCTTTTTTTGGGGGTATTCCATTTACTTCTCCCAGCATTTCTAATTATCTCCTGTCACCCTTAATGGCTGCAGGAAGCGATGCTGTTGTAAGCTTGCCTGTAGTAGAGACCAACCAGTGCTAACTTTCAGGTGAGTGTGCCTCCTCAGTGGTGTTTAGGCACTTAAACCATCCCAGATTTTTTAAATCACAGACAAAGGCAGCATGTTCTGCCTGTCTCAAAGGTGTGAACTTGAGTCTTTGATGCATATAATAGAAGAAAACTGATGAATAAATAAAAGTGACTCATCTGTCACTATGTTTGCTCTCTGACCCAGGCTCTTAAGTTTTGAGAGTAACTTAACATACTTCCTTTGAGTGTGGAAAAAAATTGGTTCTTGAAAACAACTTGCCTGGTTGCCGAGGGTGTATATGTCAGTTGACTTGACAGATTATTTAATCTTTGGCTATGTGAGTGTTGTTAGAGACATGAGGTGTGACTGCACGCCCGCCAGAAAGGAGAGAAACAAAAGGTGCCGTGGGTGATAGGGGGTTTATATTACTGTGAGCTCTCTAGTTTTCCAGAATTACGTCCCTGGAGAACTGTATGCTCTGTCTCTTTCTATCACTGCTGATTGTCAAGGTATGCAGGTAAATAGATTTCTTTGGGAATATTGTATATGTTAAGAAGTGCCTATGAAAGTTGTTGCATTATCAGCAGTTTAACTGACAAAGGTAAAGTTTACACAGCAGTGGAGTCCTCTGCAAGTTCGTTTTGGCCGACTTGGAGCAGAGCTGATGGGAATGGTGGGCTGGTGTTGGCTTGGGGAGAATTAGGGAGGCGGGTGCTAGCCACGTGACTGGGGTTCAGAGCGGTGGTGCTCATGAAGTTAAACTTCGCAAGTGCGTGAGAGGGCAGGGGGGAGTTCAAGGGGGCGACTGCCTAGGTTACTGATCGATAGGGACCGCTGCTGGTGCTTCATCTAAGAAACCAGATTTTTGCTTCTGGGAATTTAATAATTTTTAATGTAAATATCGTATCTCAAAAAGAATATTGTCCATTTTCAGAACTACTCCATGTTGCTGACCTACATGGAGAGCCTGCTGAAATGCAGTGGGTTTAGAGACCTGAATTTAAGTCATTGGCTTACTGGAAAATAGTTCTAAATCAGACAACTTCCACAGTAGTTGTCTTTAAGTAAAACAAACAAACAAAGCCAAATTACATACTTTTGTTAACAGAGAAGCTTCACGTGCGACAATGGTTTCCTCTGTCCATGCAGCCTTTAGCTTGGCTTTGGAAATGGTGGGTAGCAGCGCCAGCTGAAGTGGGTCAGCAGGGCGTGTCGCGTTCATCCAGTGATGGCCGGGACAGCTACAGCATCGCACCTGGCAGCCGTGCTGTGCTGTAACGTCCCTCACGTGCCTGGCAGGTGTGCGGGGTTCACTACAGAAATCTTTATTTGTATGCAGATTGATAATCAGCCGTGATAGAAGAACAGATATCTTGGTAATGGAAGTTACTGGCACAATATTTTTATCCTGTGTTGCTATTGCTGGTGCAGCTACTTTATAGAAGAGCTGTGTTAGGAAAGGTCGTGCAGTCCAGGGTGATCAAATTACCAGCAATCAGCAGAAACACTGTAACTATATGCATGTTTCTGGCTCTCTCCAATTGTAGGCTAAAACATAGTTATTTTAAACCTGGGCCGCAGAAGCACAAAGCTTTGGTTGGTATGAGTATATCCATTATAAAACAAGTGTGTGATTTTAAATGTGATGTGACGGATTTTTTTTACATGCTAAGTGGGCAGCATATGTAGGTATGACATTGCTGGTCCTGTGACTTCTTTAAGCTCTGAATTTTTAATGCGACTAATAATAAAGTGTAAGCTAAAATTATTTGGGGATTGCGATTGATACTAACTAACGTTGAGCTTGTATTTTAAGTAATCAAATTTCAATTTTTGAGCTGCTTACCGTGATATGGACGTTTGGAATTCTTTTGTAATATTAGTTTACTAACTTAAACATGGTTTGTTTTTTCAGACAACTTGATTTTAAGAAGAACGGTACAAATGTAAGGTTTCAAGTCTGCCTGGGCTAATTCTTCAAGTAAAAAGCAGAAGGGCTAAAAGGATATTGTCCTTATTTGAAGGATCGGAAACATGTGAACCTATGATGCTATTATATTATTTAAACAGAAATTCCACCAAGAAATTCCTGATGCACAAAATGAGACGTAGCTCTTGCCTAAAAACCTTACTGTCCGGCGTAACACTTTAGACCCTGTGGCATTATGTACTACATGCTGTGCACATAACACTATTTTTTTTTTCCCCTAGACTGACAGTATGAATCTGGTCTTGAAAGCTAGGCATCTCCATAACACGATGTAGTTCGACGTTTTAGGTTACTGTGCCTCACAACTCCCATTTTGAGGACAGCTGTTGAGACAAATGCAGCTCTTTCTTGGTGGTTAATTAAAGCTGTTTTCATAATATGATGGTCTGGATGCAATTTTGGAAGATATTCTGCAAATACAAAAGGAAGTCTTAAGAATAAAATATTACTTTTAGCTGTTTGCAAACAAGTTGTCTCTTTGCAATTGTCTATTATATGCACAGCAGCCAGTAGAATTCCCCTTTTTATTTTTTTTCCCCGCAGACCATCTTGATTCAAAACATCTATCGTAACCCCCAAAACAGTGCACAGACGGCTGACGGCTCACACTGTAAGTCCCACAGTTGGAGAAATTTTTTTAAAGAATGGTGTTAAAGAGCCCACTCCTAATTATGAGAAAATAATGTTGGCTTCTGAGCTGCTGACATAAAGCTGTTGCAAACAGGACAAGTGATGGAACTCTTCTTGCGCATAGATCAAGAACTTGTCAAATGTGTGCAATTCGGAATGCAGAATTGACTGCATAAATTGGACTTGATGCAGGTTCTCTCTTGCACTGCCAAGTGAAACTTGGTTGCTTAGTAGCACTGCATTCTTTTTAAAGGGTTAAACCGCAGACATTTCTCAAATTCTTGATTTAACAACAACAAAAAAAAATAGGTGTATATGTCATGTACGGTAAGTTTTCCCCAAACTGTGGGTTTTCTTTCATCTTAACTTTTTTAGGAAAATGGAGATTTCATGTTATGCTTTAATTATTGTATTACTTCCTTTCCTGGGGTTTTGCTACTGTTCAGTAAAACCAAATCCAAATGAATTACTGTGCTTGTAATTTGAATACTGCGTTTGGATGCCATCTGTTACATATCTGCCTGAAATCGTGCAAAATCCCTCTGTAGTAGTATTGGGGAATGAAATAAAAACAAAAATACAATAATGGAGTATCATGAGATCTCTATTACTTTACAGTGTTAGGTTGATTCAGAAAGGTCACCAGCTAAGTGAAAGTTCTCCTTCTTGGGAGAGAATAACCACCTCTCTTTCAGCACAGGCTCGGCTAAAGCGACCCTAAAGGAAACCGGTTTCTTGTTAAAATTATTTTCCATAATATAAAGTTGTTGCGTTTTGTATTTCAGACCATTGCCCTCTTGAACATTTACCGTAACCCTCAAAACTCTTCCCAGTCTGCTGACGGTTTGCGCTGTAAGTTCATACAAGTTCCTTCACTGGTTCCCTGGGCTTGATTGTCAGAGCTCAGTGTCGACTTAAGATGGTCTGCCATTTTAGTTTAACAGATCAAACTGACCACGTTTCATTAAATGTGTCCAAAACAAACACACCAAAAAAAAAAAAACCCAAACACTTTTTTTTTTGTCCCATTCACCTTCCTCCCTATTCCCAAAACTATGAGGTGAATCAGAATGCCTTCTATTAAATCAGAAAGCGTGGAAATTTTACTTCCCTTGCAAAGCAGTCTTGGTTGCACTGCTTTCTTCCCTCTGCCTTTCTCCCTGCCAGTTGCCCCCATCCTAGGAATGCTTTTCTGTATGTTTTGTGCTATCCGTGAGGTTCCACTGTCTAAAAGAGCAGGACAATGACACGCTGACTTCATCCAGAACAAATATCCTGCTCTGTAAATGTTAAGAGAACTGGAATTTGAAACTTTACAGATTGCATGCAGAAATTTGTCCTAGGTTAATGCAGATTCCATTTAGAGTACTTTGGAAGAATACTCTTTGACTGACAAATGCTTCCCTTCTGGCAGCTGTCCTTTTTGGATAGGTGCATGCTTAACATTCCTTCCATGCTTTGAAAATTCAAATTCCAAAACCAAGTTGCATATTTACCTAGGAAAATATATCTTTAAAAGTACTTTTGAGGAGGGGAAGGCATTTGGGTATGGTCATGAACTAATTTAATGACTCCTCATGAGGTAGGGATGGGCATAAGAAAATACACATACTGCGAGACTGGCAGAAGTTAAATGACCAGGATTGCTGATCGGCGATTACTGAGATATCATTGTGATTGCATCATCAATATTAGAATAAGATTTTTAAAAAAAAAAAAAAAAAAAAAGTTTTAGGACCAAAATGGATCGATTTTATTTTCTAACTAATATTTCTTGTTGAAGTGGATATTGACTGTGTGGAAATAAAGCTTTGTTTGGCTATTCCTATTTTTGACTGTTGGGTTATAGACTAGTTCAGATTAGTTACCAGCATTTGATTAGACGTGCTTTGTGAAATCAGCCACTAACTTAAACGTCAACACTGCCTCTTCTGCTTCTAAAAGTAATAATGGCCCAATTAAGTAATTTGAGTTTTTTGTTACACAATCAAGCTAGATACGTAACGAGCTACGTAAGTTTGCCTAGATGCTTAAATGGTTCTATTGGTTTGTAGGCTTCCTTGTTGCAGATGCTTAGTCATTAATGCTGTTTCAGTAAACCAAAAAAAGTACAGTTGGGTATTTCCACTCCATCCCTAAATTCTCAATGCGCTGGTAACTAATTTGCACAGAGTTACAGCCGTTCGGTCTGCGGAGCTGTTTGGATTGTACAGCTGCGCCAGGCTCGAACAGATTCTCTAGTGTTCTAGATGCTGGTGTCCGACTCCAGTTGGACTTCACGAGCGGGCAGCTCCTTAACAGAGCCTGACTGTACCTTCTGTGGTAGAGTTGGAGCTCTGTTATCAGTAGGTTTGCTGAAACTCGTGGCTCCCTGATTTTTCGGTATTTGTCCCTACTTAAGTACTGCATGTATTTTAAATGGATAACTTGGGTAGCTATTTAATGCTTTTGTGGTTGTTGCTTAACTGTCTTCCTTTCTATTGCCGTCGTAGAGGATTAACCGTAGTTTTGAACAGCAATAGTTTTCCTGAGTATTTTAACTAGTAATTGGGCTTCTCAAGGTTCAGATACCGGTAGCCCTGGCGTATGAATGTTTGTAAAGCCTGTGCATATGTATGCTTCCCACTTCAGAAGGACATTCAAGTAGTCATTAACTAACTGTTGCTTATGGTCTCCTAATTTGACAATGGAATCTCCTTAGGAGTTTTTAGCACTTCTCCATCTGGTAAAAAGTAGTTATTCCCAGTGTGGCTTACAGAGCCCCTGTCTGATACCTTTTCAAAAAGAAAAAAATAAAACCCACAATCCTTGGGTACTAGTAAGCTGTTATCAGTGGTGTTGGCAGAACCTTGGGAATATCGTTAAGTATTAAACTGTCTAGAAATACTGGTTTAATGTTTGATATTCCTTAATTTGCTGTATAACTGTGGGGAAGAAGAAAGTTCTTTAAAGCGAATGTGTTTCAAACGCAGAAGCATTGTTAGCCTAAACTATATAACAAATGCCCCTTAGCCTTCTTCAGGAGGTGAGCTGGGTGAAAGAAAGTAATTACAGTTCCGGAGAGTGTGGCTGGTTAATATTAGAGGCTTTGAAGGAAAATTTTGGTAATATTAGCCAAAAATGTCTGAGCCCAAAGCATCTTTTTTTTTTCATAGCAGCTTGCAGTGAATAAACTCAGCTTTGTTGGCTCGGTTTCTTGCCTTTCACGTTCTGTGAACTGAAACAGTAGTGTTTGTAATTGAAAGGCTGCAGTATTTTTCTAGCATAAAATGCAGGGTTCATTTTAAAACCACTCCGCTTGATCTTAATAAACCACTTAACTGCTGAAGAGCTGATACATTAGGCTTTAATGTATATAGCTTAATGTAGTTTAAAGTGCTGTAGACTGGAAGAAATAAATGAAATTCACTTTTATATTCTTAATGCTTTGAAAAATCAGCCAAACTTACGTTGTTTTTTCATAGCAGCAGGCAAGCAGCGCTCATTTGTAAAGTCCAGCATGGAACATGAAAATAATCTAACCAGAATATATGGCTGGCTTGTCTTGCATTAAAAGGTGTTCTGCAGGACTACAGAAAAATTGAGCGATGTTCAAAATTAAACTAGAAAATTGCTCTCTATTGCAAAGCATTGTGGTACCCTTCTTTGAGGGCACTGGGAAAAGTGTGTAATTTCAATAACTGTTTTGAGCAAATTGGAAAGAAAAAAAAAATCTGGGCTATGTTACCTGAGAATTTGAGAGTTCACAATGTATATTGTGGAGAGGTGGACATGTTAAAATGCAATTCTGCCTTTAGGAAGAGGAACTCTAAATTGTAATCATGCTTTAAAATATGCAAATGTAACAAAGCACTTGCCTTCTGTTTAGGTAAAATTGTTGATAGCTAGAGGGCGGGACTGTACCTTAAACTGAAGTGATATTTCAAAGTAATTCCTTTCCCCTTCCTTTAAATTCGTGGCATACAAGTTTGGCTCTCGTCAAAACTTGATTTGATTTGATCATGTCAATGTAATGTCTTGACATATACTTTGGGGGCTCAAAGCTCTTGACACATACTTACTTTTAATATTCCTATTAGTTAGCTCCATGCTATATGGTGTCTTATGCTCCAGATGACCTCTCTAGATTGTTTTGTAGTATGATCAAAATCTCTTCTTCCTTATTATAGGCGCTAATCGATATGACTCTTGGATTTTTACAGGTGCTGTGAGCGATGTTGAGATGCAGGAACATTATGATGAATTCTTTGAGGTATGTAAAAGGTGTAAAAAGGCATTAAAGTGTTTGTGGATTTGTCGACACGAACGAGTTAGATGGATTCAGTGTATAGCACAATTAGATGGATTCAGAGAAAAGTGCTTGTTTCTCAGGTGTTTTATATAAAGCTTACAGCTTCCCATGCTAAATGCTTCCTGCTATAACCTTTGGTTAGTTTGGCTTTAACTGTAGTGTTTAGAGTAGACTGTGTTCAAAAATCACCAACTTAAGCAACGTAGCATTTTGATTCCATAATCCCTTTTCCTGTAGATTTAAAATATACTTAATAATTTGTATAGGAGCAAGTTAAGTGAAACTGTAACATCAAGGCTTGTATGTAGTGTCTTCAGTGCATCTGACATATTCTGTAAATACCGTATGCATAATATTTTCCATGGCTGCTTCTCGTATCCTGTTAGTGCTGTACTTACAGATGGACACAGTAGAGGCCAAGCAAGTACTAATTTTAAAATCAGATGTAAAGAAAAAAGTTTTGCCTTTTTTTGTTTTTTAAAGGAAGGCCTTTTGTTTGTACTTCCTAACAGCTGAATGCAGTACTTCTGTACTTAGAGCTAATGTGCTGCAGACTTTTAATTGGTTGCTTTGTGCTTAGGAGGTCTTCACGGAAATGGAAGAAAAATACGGTGAAGTTGAGGAGATGAACGTTTGTGATAACCTTGGAGATCATCTAGTTGGAAACGTATACGTAAAGGTAGGATAGAGAGAGACACGTTTATGTAATCAATGGGGGTGTTACTTACTGAATTATAACTTTAAAAGCTACTGTATGCTCGTAGGTCTTGCGAGAGTAGCTCTTCAAGATATAAGCTCCTCTCCAACTTCACGATTTAAAGTAGAAAGAGTAAAAATGTGAATGGAATCTGAAAGAAATTTTAAGAGATAATGAGAATCTTTTGTGATTGTCAAAATCCGTGTCATTTTTGTAGAGATTAACACTTTTTTTTTTTACGTTGTTATAAACACGGTCACCACTGTTGGGCTGTTCAGTATGCCAGGATTAATTTGGGGTCTGTCTTCTCATCACACTGCCTTTTTAGTGCTTCATTGGGAGCAGAGGTTTATTTGCAACAGGTGTGTTTATTTTCAACAGGTGCATTTATTTTCTAACTTCCCAGTTAAACAAAACATCTTGTAACCATGTTATAGTTGGCAGCAGCTAGGTGGTTTAAGGTGCAAACTGGAGCACTTAAGTTTAGCTCTTGAAAGTCATTGGTATTTCTTGAATAATGAGTACAAAGTTGTCACCTGCAGAAATGCTATTGCATGTACACAGTGTTGGGGACGTGTGAGAGTGTTTGAATATTTTTACTGTACATTCCTCTAGCTGGAAAGTATTTTCATGCCTAAACTTCTCAGCTGTGTAGGTCATAATAAGAAATAAACTTGGTTTTAAAAATTTGCAAGTGGTTAGCTGTGAAAAGGAATTTCAAATCTAAGTTTTACATTCATCATAAAACAGGATCAGATTTTTGTGAATTCTAATATAAATGAATGAGAGCTTCAGTTCTCATGCAGGTTTCTCTTAAATGTTTCGAAAAAATCTATTACATTTGGAGCGCTAGTGTTCTAGAAAGTACTCTTAAAGATTCTCTTAAGTCATACTAAGCAAACACAGAATCTTCTATCATACCTTTTAATACAAGCCACAAAACTTGAAAGACCAAATAAATTATAATTAAGAGAAAATATGGATGTTTTGGTTAGCTCTGAGTCCTGATCAATGAAAAGCTAGCATCTTTACCCTTGATTTGATGGGCTGTCCCAGGAACTCTGAAGTAGCTTCTAGTTGGATTACTAGTCCTAAGCCTCAGATATTGCACAACTGATTTGACAGGAGTGTTTGATCTACTTTTGTTGCTTCTCTGTAATGTGAGAAAATGTTAATTTTGCCTTTAGTTTCGCCGTGAAGAAGATGCAGAAAAGGCTGTGATTGACCTGAACAATCGCTGGTTCAATGGACAGCCCATTCATGCTGAGCTTTCACCTGTGACTGACTTCAGAGAGGCCTGTTGCCGTCAATACGAAATGGGGTAAGAAGTGACTTCCTCTTTGCCTGTGACGGTATCTTTGATATGCTTGCACAGACAGGGTGGTTGCTCGAGGGTGGTTGCTCGGGTGTGGCTTTTATATGTAGCTTAGTGTAGGAAGAACACCACTTCAGGTAACATTAATGTGGAAGACCTGCAGTCACTCTCTTGACTTCTTCCGTCTTTTTAGGATTTTGGTCTGGGAGTGAGTCAGTGTCAGTCTATGATGCTTGTAATTTACTGGGTTTAATGTTAGAGGTGATTAACTTTTAGATGGCTGGAGGTCCACTAGGGCTTAGGGCAAACAGATACAGTGTAGAGCTGTGAATTTTAACTGTGCCTCTTGAATTCTGTTTCAGAGAGTGTACACGAGGAGGTTTCTGCAACTTTATGCATTTGAAGCCCATTTCTCGAGAGTTAAGACGCGAGTTGTATGGGCGGCGTCGTAAAAAGTAAGTTTGCTTTTGAACACAATTAAAATGGGTAAATTAAGGATCACTTGCTGAAAATTCTGAAGGCAATTCTTTACTTTAAACTTAAAAATTCTTTAAGTCCTCTCTTTTTTCTAACACGCTTCTGCACTTGCTGAAAATTCTGAAGGCAATTCTTTAAACTTAAAAATTCTTTAAGTCCTTTCTTTTTTCTAACACGCTTCTAACCTATGCCAGTGAAAGGGCATCAAGTAAAGCTACCAGGTGGCCAGTTTAGAACAAAGGAGTAGGTCTTTGGTTAAAAAAAAAAAGTTACAGTTCTTCCGCAGTGCTGTGGGTACTGAAGGTTTACGTGGCTTTAAGAGAAGGCAGGGTTCAAGGAGAAGAGTATTCCCTGAGTTACTGAGTAGGACGTACCCGCGATTCAGATCTCTTAAACCGTGAACTGTTGCAGGCAGATGTTATTTGGGAGAAGCACTGCTTTATGCCTCTTCTCTGCTTTATTGTCTTCTAGATGTATTTGCCTGTGGCCTCCACTAGAAGCGGGCTGCTTGGCCAGCGGGCGTTTTGGCAGGGTCAGCTTGGCCACCACTTTCAACGTTACGCACAATTAAGCGTATCTATAGATTATATTCAGGACCCAACCTTACTTGTTTTTAACAGTTAATGGCTAACTTTGCCAGCCTGGGTTCGTTCCTCAGTGTTAGGCAGTTGCTGTATTGAGCTCTGTTTTTATTAACGCCAGCCTCACAATGTGACCCTTGATATGAATTCTCAGGAGGGCAAAGGAATAGTAATTTTGCTTAATTGCAAAAAAAGATTGTGATAAATACAATGTGTTATATTTATATTAAATTATTTATTTAAGGTACCTTGTAGAAAGGCTTCTACCACTGCTCTTATTATGATACCTGTCTTGTGGATGGTTCACTTTGAGCTTAATCTGCTTTTAGGACCTTGCTATTTAGGATAGGTGTATAAAGTTGTTGAGCTTCCTTTCATATAAAGCGCAATTTTGTAGGTTTCTTGAATCACAGAAGGAGCCTGGGATTACGAACATGGTTTTTCTTATAAATGTCTCTAGTGGGCAGTGTTTTAGGATTTGTGAGGGTTAATTTAACTTGGGAAAGTGTAGATTGTGTTGCTTACGCGCGTGTATTTGTGCCTAAATACTTTCCTAAAATATCCCAATTAATATTAATTTAAACTAAAATATAAGCTTTTAAGATGTTTGACTATTTTATGAAAAAGATGAAGCATGCTCTTGTATTAGCCTTTTGGTCACTTTTATGAATCTGGATCTCTCAGACTTAGTAATGCTGATTAAAAGGTATCACCTTTTATTGCAAGAAAGATCAGACTCGTGTTTGGCTTTGGAATGTGGTTGTTTTACCCATAGCCCAGTTTCAGTCTGTGATAAAACAAATAACACAGCTGAATCTTCCATCCAGTTTTGTCTTTATTGGCCCTGTTTAAATTCTTTGTGCAGCTAAAGCTGTCACAGGTGAGCAGTAAGGCTTGATTAACAGCAACAATGAAAAATCAGTTCTGTGTCAGTGGGGTTTCACAGGTAGATTGTATAAACTAGGATGACCTGAAAGTAGTTCTGCACAGAATGAAATACATCAAAGTTTTTCCAGCAGAAAAAAAGGAGGATAAACCAGAACTTTTGAATAATAGGTTAATCTGGTCATTCTGAACAGCTCAGTATGTGCGCGTCTGTTACAGAAAAATTTGTCACCACGCACACTCCCACCCCAAAACATCTCACTGTGGAACAAAACTCTGCAAACTTAAGACTTGTAGCCCTGAGATTTTTAGTTCTGCTGTAATTTCTACAGCTATTTAAAACTGTACTGTTTACCTGGTTTATAAAATTGTTTTCAAGCATTTTAGAGAAGTCATTCAAAGCACTGTTTTCATTGACAAGCGCCATGTAAGCTATAAATCCATAGTAGCTGTGTGTTAGCATTACATTCTGAGTGGGTTTAGCTTTTCCTGAATTTAAGTCATTGATCTCAGAGGCACAGAAGATTATTTATTTACAAATGCTGATGGCTTCTGGAAGGAGGGGCGGGGAAGGGGAAGAGAACTGGGTTGTAATTGCTAATTAATGAAGTTGATTTAATAGCAGCGGACTGACAAACAGCTGTAGGCTTTGGCTGTGTGTGTTGCTGAGAGCTATTCTAACTGCAAAAGCAGGTGTCTCCTTCTCGTGCTGCTTTAATTAACAGCTGGGCAACAGTGCATTGGGCTCCTCCGTGTGCCTTAAGTTTTGCACATCCATTGTAACGGATGACTGGCAGTGAACAGTTGAGTCTCTTAACACTGTGTGTTGACTCCTCAGTATGAGGTTTGTTCTGTTTGTAAACTCACAGCCTGAGTGCTAATTTACCAATCCTTCTAATGCCACACTGTCTTTCTTCTCCCTCATTATTTACGTCATTAAGTGTTCCGCTGTGTGGTACTGCGAGTAAAATGCTGAATGTGATGAAACAATAAAATGTTCAAACTTTCTTTGAAGGCATAGATCCAGGTCGAGGTCCCGTGAACGTCGGTCTAGATCCAGAGATCGTGGTCGTGGAGGTGGTGGTGGTGGAGGAGGAGGACGTGAACGTGATAGGAGGCGGTCAAGAGATCGTGAAAGATCTGGTCGATTCTGAGCCATGCCATTTTTACTGTATGTCTGCTAGAAAGTGTTGTAGTTTGACCAAACAAGTTCATAATGAGATTTTTTTTAAAGATGGGCTTCTGAATAAAAAATTTGTAGTGATACAGTATTCTTTGTGTAACTTGTTTCTTGTGGGGGGAGTCTTTTTAACTGTCATTCCTCTATCTTGACAAATACTTGGATTAACTATGCCTGAGGGAAAGGTGGTAAATGTATCGGAGGAGCGCCAGTTTTTGTTTTGGGTTTTTTTTTTATTCGGGTATAATTTGAACTGTTGATGAAAATGTGTGTGTATATAATATAAAATATTATATACATAGTAAAAATAATATACTGCTTAAGAAACAGTTACTCACATAAGTTTCCCTTTTCTGCTATGCTGTCTGCTTATTTAGGTTAGTTTAGGCACGTTTAAAAGGAAGGCTGTGCGAAATGCATTTATTTACCAAGTAGAAGCGCTTAGTTACAAAAATGTATGTTTGTTTGTTACCAGAAGTCTGTGCTCTGTCTATCAATGTGACTGTGGCATTTACAATAAATCCAATTTCTTGGTGTAAAATCTAGAGCCTATTTTCTAAGCACTCTGGAGTAGTTGAGTTGCTACTCCTGGCTGTGCCAGAGTTCATAGTTCAATTTTTTTATGATTCTTGACTAAATTCCTTGTCTTTGGCTGGAAAGTTGCCTAGTGCAGTGTGGAGAGAAAAAAAAAAAGGCAATATTTTTATTGCAATGATTCATAATAGGCAGGTGAGGCTTTTAAAGAAAAAAACCAACAAAACTCATGCTCCATGCAGTATGATATATAGGATCTATTGAAGGAAATCCAAGGTCCTAAATACAAGGACCAAATTTCTTAACAGACTGATTATTTTTTTCTTCAGTCTATGTTCTCTTAGCTGTCATTTAATGAAAAGCATTTCATTAGTGTTCAAGATCATAGGAAACTAATTGGATGCTAGTGGAAAATATTTTTTTTTCCCACCTTTACTCGCTTTCTGATAGTCTGAAGTGTGATAAAAGCTAATGGATAGATGGCAGTTTCTTCACAAACAGGACATCCTTCTGTCCGAGTCTTCACCAAATTGCACAGTAGCTCTGTGTCATAGGTTGTGTATCTCTTGAGTTAGAGATCTAAGTGAAACGTTGCTGGAACATCTTGAAAGGGAGTTTGTACAATGGCTAACTTGCAGTTTAACTTCATTCGTGTTTGCTTTTATTCAGTGTGTGACATAGTAAGAAATTTGTCAGTGGCCCTATTTCTGCAAGACACTTTATGTACATGCAGCTATATAATACAGTATAGCTTTTCAGTGGGGGAGAGAATTCACTAGTGCTTTTTTAGTTCTGCTAAATGATAAATCTGCTCCTTGATTATTATTTAAAAAAAAAAGGAAAGAAATAGAAAGGATATGGAAGCATAACATAGCCAGATGAACAAACCAACTTCTCTCTGCCTCCAAAATAAGTATAAAACCATTTTGCTCACTGAAACTTGGAGCTGGCAAACAAAATACTATTGGGAAATGAGCTTTTCTAAATGAATCTCTTATAACTAAATCCTTGCACCAAGTCAATTTGAATTTATTTTGTTCGCCCTGGATGGTTTGGCCAACCAGATTGTGGAACTTACTTTGCCAGTAACCTTTTCAAAGGAACGTGTCGCTCTACGTGAAGGTGGCTTCACTGCTTACGTTTTGTTGCAAGTACATAAATCAAATTATGCTTTCTTTTCACTGAAAGAAATTGAGCAGTGCCTGGCAATAAATGGCTGAACTGAAACCTGTGGTAGGCATTAGGAATTTAACATTGATAACTTAGTTCTTGCCATTTACAGGATATTAATCCAGTTCTCTTTCCTCTTCAGCAAGATTCAGGATTATTAGTGAGCTAATTTAAATCTCAAGCTCAAAAAGGTGAGGATAGTCTGGTTTTTAAAACAATATCTAGAATAATGTGGACACTATTTAAAAAGGTTTAAAATCACTTTTACACAGATTAATGATACAAGCCGATTTGCTGTATAAACAAATTCATTTTAAACTAGTATAAATGTGTCCCTGTAATGGCTTTCATCTGTTATCTAAACCCTGTTAAACTGCAGGTGCATTTTTGTGTGAACAGATGGCAGAAGGTTAATTTCTGCCTTCCCCCCCAATACATTTTTTTTTTCTGAAGAAAACACTCCTGAGTTCATGGCAGAAGGTTAATTTCTGCCTTCCCCCCCCAATACAGTTTTTTTTTCTGAAGAAAACACTCCTGAGTTTCACCAAATGCATCATTTTATGATCTGATTGCACAGCTACCCAAAAATTAACCATGTAACTGGAATATGTCATAACGGGCACTGAAAGCAATGGATTTTACTTGATACTCGGAAGGAAAAAAAAACAAACTCATGCACTGATCATTACCTGATCATGTGATGATTACCTAGTGACAGCATTCAGCATATAAACTAAGTTTATGACATATCTTCAGTTAGGTTCACCTTTTAAGACTATACTACCACTAAAATTAATCAAACTTGACATTTAAACTGCACAGATTTGGTTAAATGCTTATATATATGGTTGTCCAAACTGTACTGGTTTACCAATACAAACCAAGTGGAAATCCTACCTCCCCCTTCTATGGTTGCTTACAATGTTGTAGAGTAAAATTTTTTTTTTTTTTTCCCCTCCTTCCCAAAGGTACCTACTTCTCACAAATACATCATTGTTGACTCTTCTGTTAAACAGTGGATATTAAGTTATGGAATTCCTTTACCTCAAATAAGTGACAGCATACAGTATTTTCTGAAGTCTGAGTCAATTAGGTTGAAACTGTTAATCCCAAGTGGCTTCCTCTTCTTTGTATTTGGCTCTTATTCTGTGAAAATGCTGCTTGTCCATGAATATGATGTATGTTGAGACTGTAAAACCAAATGGAGAAAACTTGTTCAAAATAAAGCCTTTTTTATAAGAATCTGACAAAAATTATCCCTTTCCTTTAGATGGGATGCTGCTCTTTAAATGACTAATGAGGACATAGACTACAAGTTTCAAATTCTTAGCTCTTGTCTTGAGCTATTTTTTGTGTGATTCTTTCCCTTCTGTTTTTTTTTTGAGCTATTGGAGCATTTCTTCAACTAAAAAAAAAAAAAACACAACCACCCCCAAACAAACCACAACAGAAACCACAGCCTCTCCATATTTACTTGATGAAGTATCAAAAGAGTGCAACTTGGGGTTGGGAGCTGGGGTTTGTTTTGGTTTTACATTGGTAAAAGTTCTGGTTGAGAGATCCTTCAGGTTTCTCTTGTGGTGGTCTGTAGGGAACAAGAGGGCTCATGTTTGACAGAAGGAGCATGTTTAATTGAAGAAATGGATTTTTAGAGGTGAATCTTCCTAGTGTTGCATCGCTCAAGCTGCAAATCTTCGGGCATTAACAGCTGTGTCCATTGCCACTATAACAGCACCTTAAGCTGCATATATGGTCTTTAACATATTAGAAGTTAGACCGCTTTCATAGCGGTTGGGAGGGGGAGAACGTTAATTGCTCCGTTCTCCAAACGTTTGTAACTGCTGCTGCACTGATGACTGCCCCAAAAACCTAGTCCTATTCAGGAAAAGTCAAGAGCTGAAAAATGAAACTGAGTTGGTGTGCGCTCACTTCAGCTGGTAAGGAAGTAATGCCTCGGTGGTAAGGCTGTCATAGAAGAGAATGTTTGTAGCTGTATTGGTATGTCATTTATTGCAAGGATGAAGCTGAGCTGTGTTACTGTAGAGCACAGTTTCACCTTGGAGTGCATGAATTTCAATTTGGAAAAAAAAATAAGAATTACAGCCAAATGTCTAGAATAAATCAATGTATCTTCATGTTGAACTGATACATGATGCATTCTGAAACTATGCATGAGTACTTCTGAATTCATCCGATTAGCCAATGTTTCATTTTTACAAAAGTCTCCAAATTTTTGCAATACTCATTTTGTTAGATCCACACATATGGAAAATGGAGCATGTCTCCTGAACTGTGTGGACAGTTCTTTCTTGTCAGCAAGGTGCTCAGCGGTCATAAACATCTAATCCCCTGTTAATTCATGTCATGTTTTAGTTCTTAGGAAATTGTAACCTCCAGCTTGAACAACCGCTCTAGTGGAAGGGCACTGCTGTCCTGTACTGCAGTCCCACGGTACTTCCGGAGCAGCGGCAGAACCACTTTAGAAGGTCCCTGTTTTCCTGCTAGGGGTTACTGTCAAAAAGGTGTTAATTCAATTGATCTATAGTTTCAACTGTATATTTGATTTGTGGAATTGGGTTGAGTGGTGGGAGCTAACAAACCACATCTGCTGCCAACAGACCAATGGTAGCCTGTGGCTTCATTTCAACGTAGGCAAAGTGGGAGGGGGAAGGGTGTGCTTGTCTCATCTCTAACTGTTCAGACACAAATGCCTGCTTCTCAGCAGTGCTCTGATAACCATGGGATTGGGTACTTTTTCGTCATTTCAGTTCTGGCATTTGGTTTCCAACTAGATTGTTTTGACAGGACCAAAGGCAAGTTACTTGCATTTGTGCATCAGCAGAGCAGAAAGGTGCTAACTTCTAATGAAATGGCGGGTATGGGGACAGCAACTTGGGTGAGTTGGAGCCCTGTAGCAGCTTGTGTGAGTATGGTTGCCTCTTTGATCTGAGTACCTTAAAAATATTCAGAGCTCTGGAAGCTGTTCCCACTAGGAAGAGAAAATTAATAGGGTTCAGGTGTTCCTTTGGGAAAAACCTACACTGTTTTCCTGAGCACTGTGAAATTGTTGCACTGTAGGCTGCTTCCAGCTCTCCGTTTCCAAAACTGCATGTTTAGTTAGGTCTGAAGGGAAAAAATAAAATAATTTCTGCTCTGGTTTCAGTGAGCCACAAGACAAAGTGGGGAGAAAGGCAGCAGAGAGCAATCAAGCCTGTCTCCCTGCCTCTGTTTTTCACAGAAAAGCCTTTAGTCTACCAGGCCTAGGCTTGTACTTTTGCCAGCGCCTGGCTTGGTTTCAAGTCTTGCTACCAAGTCTTGCTGCCTATGCAGCTGAATATTGGATGTGTTTCAGATCATTCTCACTTTCTTCCTGGAGCTGTCTGGGAGTCTAGCCAGAGGGAGGGAGGTGCTCCCACTGCAGCCTGTGCACCAGCCTGCCTCTTGGGCCTGAGAGCTGTGGGAAGAGCCAGGGGGAGTGACTGCTCCTCCCTTTTCTACCCACCCCAGTTTCCTCGAGAGCTGATGCTGCTTGTGTCTAAGGGAAAGATGAGAGAGAGCTTCACAGATCAAAACAGTCCTGCATCTTCCATCATTTCCTCTTCCTCTCTAGTGAACACAGAAGATGCTTCCTCTCTGCTTCCCCTCATGTTGGAGAAAAAAGTCCTGGAGCTGCAGCAGGAAGATGCTTGATAAAAGGACTCCGAGGCAGGACATGAAGAACTGATTTCTGGACAAAGCACAAGTGGAAAGTGAGCAGACAGCCTTACTGACTTTGGGATTGCATGCAACATTAATCATTGCATTGCTGGATTTGGGATGGGCAAGGGAAATTCCAAAGTCT